AGTGGTCAGTCACACCCCCACACGGACGGGTTCTCTCATCAGGAGAGGGCTGGGAAAGTTCCGACTCAGCCAGAAGCCTCAGACCCAAACCGGGAGTCGCCCAGTCACATGTGAGGATGGCTCTCCACAGTGGTACACAGCTATTGGAGAGGAAGAAGTGGGAGAATAGCTTGAACCCTGGAATTCAGGACCAGCTGGGCAACATAGTAAGACCTATCTCTTTTTAAAAAATCATTAGCCTAGAAGTCTGTTTCACTGGTACCTAAAAGGGAGTCTCATAGTTCCAACTTGGAATCTTGTCTGTCTTCCTGTCTTACCCCTATGTACTGGAGATAGTATTTATTCTGGAATGTTTGATATGTTACCTTATTTTAGGAGTTGTGGCTGTTTTTACATACCTTGGTTAAGGATTCAGATCCTAGAGTTGTTTTGTTTCTTCTAATCTTTTTGGTTTTCTTTTTTTCTTTCTTTCTTTCTTTCTTTCTTTTTTTTTGTGATGCCAAGGATTAAATTTAGGACCTCACACATGCAAACCAAGAAAGTGCTCTACCACTGACCTACATCTCTAGCCCTTTTTATTTTTTATTTTGAGACTGAATCTTGCTAAACTGCCAAGGCTGACCTTGAATTTGCAATCCTCCTGCCTCAGCCTCTCTAGTCACTGATATTCTAGGCATGAGCCACCATGTCCAATTTACTCTTTGGTTATCTTAAAATTGTTTTACTTAATCCTACTGTCAAGGAAAGAATACTTCCAAGTCTGTTTATCTAGTGTCTTTTTTTTTTTTAAATATCTTTTTAGGTGTCAGTGGACCTTTTATTTATTAATTTATTTATATGTGGTGCTGAGAAGAGAACCCAGTGCCTCACACATGCTAGGGAAGTGCTCTACCACTGAGCCATAACCCCAGCTCCCAAGTGCCTTATTTTTTTTATATATAATATTTAAACACTAGGAAAAAGCTAATGTATTTGTTAGCTGTATATCTAAAGGCAAGTTTATTTAACTCACTGAACCTTAATTTCCTCAAAATAGAATTGTTAATAACTATTTCACAGAGAAATATTTCCAGATTAAATGAGAGAAGACACATCTGTCATATTCTGCGTACTCAAATGTTAATAATGATACCATGAAGATTTGAAAAAAGACTAAAGTACGAACACTAAATTCATTTAAATCTGTTATAACATCTGGTATTTTAGAAAATTTACAGTATTAGCTGTTAATACTTTTTGTTTAGTTATCATCATTAGAGGCAGTACAGCTGCTTCTGAGTTTTGGATACCAAGAATGACTTGGACTTGAGCTAGGTGCAGTGGTGCACACCTGTAATCCCTGTGGCTCAGGAGGCTGAGGCAGGAGGATCAAAAGTTCAAAGCCAGCCTCAGCAAGTCCCTAAGCAATTTAGCAAAACCCTGTCTCAAAATTAAAAAAATAAAAATAAAAAGGGCTGGGGATGTTCTTCAGTGGTTAAGTACCCCTGGGTTCAGTTTCGGGTGCAAGTGTGTGTGCACACACACACAAAGAATGACTTGGACTTGATGTTCCATCATATGCTTGATTCTTTCGATCCTCCTGCCTTAGCCTCGTGAGCCACAGGGATTACAGGTGTGCGCCACTGCACCTAGCTGAATAAAGTAGGACTAAATACAGTAAAAAATATAGTTCTAGCTTGATATATCTAGTTATTTTCCACAATTCAGGTTTTGGTTTTTGTTTGTTTGTTTGCTATCAGGGATTGAAGCCAGGGGTGCTTAACCACTGAGCCATATCCCTAGCCCTTTTTAATATTTTATTTAGAGATAGTCTCAATAAATTGCTTAGGGTCTCACTTAGTTGCTGATGCTGGGTTTGAACTTGTGATCCTCCTGCCTCAGCCTCCAGAATTGCTGGGATTACAGGCATGCAATACCCTACCCAGCAAACAGTTCAGTTCTTGAAACTGCTCACATGATATTTGGAAGACTGGAAATAATTACTTCATTCTTTGATGCTGATTGAGGAATTAACTTCAATTTTAAAAGATAATTAAAATAATATTGCTGATTATTTTAAATAAATATAATAATATATAATAAATAATAGGTGGTAAATTGCCCATCTACTTTTGGTATTGAAATAAACAGTCATTTTGTTATTAATTTTCATAGTAAAAATGTTACGTTTTAATTGCTGGTAGCTACAAATTTATTCGATCAATAAATATAGTATAATGACTCAGCACATTCTTTGTTTATTGTTACACAAGAAATTAATTCCAAATGGCTCACATAAAATTGGTGGTTTTAGGGCTGGGGTTGTAGCTCAGTGGTAGAGTGCTCGCCTCCTACATGGAAGGCACTGGGTTCGATCTTCAGGTTCACATAAAAATAAAATAAAGGTATTGTGTCCATCTATAAAAAAATATTTTAAAAAATGGGTGGTTTTACCTAGGCATGGTGGTGCACGTCTGTAAGCCCAGAGGCTTGGGAGGCTGAGACAGGAGGAACCCAAGTTCACAGCCAGCCTCAGCAATTTAGCAAGGCCCTAAACAACTCAGTGAGACCCTGTCTCTAAATAAAATACAAAATAGGGCTGGGGATGTGGCTCAGTGGTCAAGTGCCCCAGAGTTCAATCCCGGGTACCCCTTCTCAAAAAAAAAAAAAAAATAACTTTAGGACCTGAAAGCATAGCTCAGTGGTAAAGCAGGTACTTAGCATGTGCTAGGTCCTGGTTCAATCCCTAGTATCCCCCCCCCCCCCCCCCCCCCCCCCCCCCGCGCCAAAAAACAAAAACAAAAAGTCTAAAGAGTGTTAAAGCCCTTTAGGAACTTTTGTTTATTCACCGTACACATCTATTTCATTAAACAAAAACAGGAAGATGATTTCAAGTAGCAGTTAATTATAGGTCTCCTTATTCTTTACTATTGTACTGATATATTGTTTTCCTTTTTAGACTATTCAAATAGTCTAAACTTTACTACTACTTTGTCAAGATATCCTAAAAATAAAGGAAGTAGTATGCTTAACAAAAATGGGAGCTTAAATTAGAATCAGTGAATTTTCCGAGCATCATTGAGAAGAGTAACAAATAGGGCCTTCTCTGTGAAGAGGAGGAGGGAGGGTAAGGAGTGGGCAGCTAGCAAGGGCATGATTAGCCAGGCTCGGTTCCATCAGCTTACTGAAACCCAAAGCCTATTTTGTTTCCTTTTTTTTCACATATTTCCATATTTTTATTGGTGCATTAGAATTGTATATAATGGTGGGATTTGTTGTCATATATTTGTACATGCACACAACAATATGGTTGTGCCAGTATCACTCCCCAGTATTTCACTGTTTTCTTTCTTTTTTAAAATTTGTTTTTGACAGTAGAATTCACTTTGATACATCATACATAATGGAGTATAATTTCTCATTCTTCTGGTTACACATGATATACAATCCCATTGGTCATATAGTTATATGGTTACACATGATATACAATCCCATTGGTCGTATAATTATATATGTACACAGGGTAATAATGTCTGATTCATTCTATTATCCTTCCTACCCCCACTTTGTTTTCTTCTTTGCAGTTTTACCAAATAATCTGTTTATGAAGATGAAGAAAAATAGGAAGCTTGGAAACAAGCCTTTTGGAAGCTTGTTTTCTTTCCTTTGTGTTTGACTAAAATCTTGCCTTATTTCTGTGCTCATCCTGTCTTTGCAGTAGGATGTAAGCTCCTATTGGGCAGGAATAAATCTTTTTTGTTGCAGTTGTTTGTTTTTTATATTATTTTTTACCCTGCTTATTACATATTTAAGTCATAAGTCTGCACAATAGGAAGCTTTAAAAAACTAGTTTATTCCTGCAACCTGTGTATTTGATTGAAAAATCCTTCAGAGTCATAGACCATGAGTCGATTCCAGCACTACCTCTTTCAGTAATGTCTGGAAGTTGCAGGTACCTTCTCTGAATATGTTTTCAGTCTCTCACACAGAGATGATATCTGCCACCTCAGGTTGTTCCTGGAGATCAGATAACTTACCTGAGGCACATAGTGAAGTTCCTTGTGCATAAGTGGTAACTGCCCCGGCTCTACTTGGTCTTCTCCTTCCCCCATCTCACATCCTTCTCCACTCCCTCCTTAATCTCAATTCCTGCTGTCCACTCCCTCCACATGCCAGGCTGGTCCCATAGACCTCTTTCTGTCCTAGCAGAATACACGTCCTCAGGGCCTTAGTTCTGTCTTTTCTGTCTATTCTTCCCCCAGATGTCTGCACAGCTTGCTTCCTACTCAAACATAAGCTTACCAAAGGTCTTTCTTTCTTTTTTTTGCACAGGGGATTTAACCCAGGGGTTTGTACCACTGAGCCACATCCCCAGCCCTTTTTTGTTATTTATTTTGAGACAGGGTCTCACTGAGTTGTTTGGGGGGTGGGGGTATCTCACTAAATTGCTGAGGATGGTCTTGAACTCGTGATCCTTCTGTCTCAGCCTCCTGAGCAGCTGGCATTACAAAAGTACACCACTGTGCTGGGCCAGAGGTCTTTCCTGACATCTCATTTAAAGTATCATTCTCAGGCTGGGGATGTGTCTCAGTGGTAGAGTGTTTGCCTTGCATACATGAGGCCCTGGGTTCAATCCTCAGCACCACAAAAAAATAAATTCAATAAAATAGCATTCTCTTCTTAACCTGCCTTTTTCTTTTTGGTGCTGATCAAATACTTATGATATATCATCTGTATCTTCCCACAAAGTCTAAGTCCACAAGAACAGGGACTTTATTTTGTTCACTGTCACATGCTAGCACAGAGAACAACATTCAGTATATAGTAGGTACTAAATTTTTTTAACGAATTGTCATCAATAACAATATTTCAGCAATAAGATGCCCTAATAATTTTTCCTTATTAGTAACTTTGGACATTGTCACTTTTTGCTTAAGGATCATTCAGACCTTATTGCAAATGAACAAAGTACTAATTCTCAGCTTTTTTTTTTTTTGTGATCATCCCCCCCACCCCCCCAGGTTTCAGTGTGGCCCAGAAGCCATTTGGAGCCACATACGTATGGAGCAGCATTATAAATACTCTTCAGACACAAGTGGAAGTAAAAAAACGAAGGCATCATTTAAAAAGACACAATGACTGCTTTGTGGGTTCAGAAGCCGTAGATGTCATTTATTCTCATCTAATTCAGAATAAGTACTTTGGTGATGTAGATATTCCTCGGGCCAAAGTGGTGAGAGTGTGTCAGGCACTTATGGACTATAAAGTATTTGAAGCAGTTCCAACCAAGGTTTTTGGAAAAGACAAAAAACCTACATTTGAAGACAGTAGTTGCAGCCTTTATAGATTCACAACAATACATAACCAAGACAGTCAGATGGGCAAAGAGAACAAAGTATATTCACCTTCCAGGTTGGTATATATATAATGATGATAGATTATCATGGGAATGTTGGCAGGATTTTGTCTGCTTTTTTATGAGAGAGTGACTGACTATATATTACTTTCTTAATAACTTGGCTAAGTATGGATCTGAAGATGTATTTGATAAAGTACAGTGAAATTTTATTAACTTTGTTTCTGCTAAATATAAAATATTTAAGAGATACCAATGAACAGACTTTGATTTTTCTCAAGTTATAGGTAGTGAAAAAAAAAAAAAAGAGTTAAAAATTTTATTTAGAAAGTGGCCTGAGGATTGGAGATGCAACTCAGTGGTAAAGTGCTTTCCTAGCAAATGTAAGGCCCTGTGTTCTATCAGTGGCACCACACAGAAGAAAAATAAAGATGGTCTGAGAAAGAGCTGGAGTTGTGGCTCAGTGGTAGAGCACTTGCCTAGCATGCATGAGGCGCACTGGGTTTGATACCCCCACCACATAAAAATAAATAAATAAAAATAAAGTTAAAGGGAAAAAAGTCTTGAGAACAGAAGGAGAAGGCAGGCAGGGAGACACCCAGGCTGTAGATATCACTAGAATCCAGAAAGTGGAAGAGGTGAGAGTGAAAGGACGTGTGTGAGAGTGCCAAGGCCTCTTGTGACTATTGAGGAATTTGTTCTTTTTTTTTTTTTTTTTGGTGGTGGTTGTAGATGGACACAATATCTTTATTTATTTTTATGTGGTGCTGAGGATTAAACCCAATGCCTTTTCCATGCTAGGCAAGTGCTCTACCAGTGAGCTACAACCCTAGCCCCTGTTTGTTTGTTCTGGAGATAGGGTCTCACTTGCAGTATTGCCCAGGCTGGTCTCCAGCTCCTGGGCTCAAGTGATTCTCCTACTTCAAGGATGTGCCACTGTGTCTGGCATATTAAGGAATTTGGATGTGATCATACAGGTGTTGGGGAGGCCACAGAAAGATTTTTAGCACGATGAGTTTATATTTTAGGAAGGCTGGGGATGTAGTTCATTGGTAGAGCACTTGCTTAGCATGAGCAAGATCCTGAGTTATTCCCAGCACCAAGCAAAAAAAAAAAAAAAAAAGAATAAGGAAAGGTGTTCCTGGTAGTTACATGGCAGTCTACTAGGGATATAGCTAGTTAGGAATTTATTACAGTACTATAGTCTACAAAATTGAGGGGGGTGTTGAGCTAAACAGCATGGGGGTAAAGAGAGGTTCATTTAAAGAGACTGGGAAGATCAGAATTGTAGAACCCAGTGGCTGAATACATAATGAACTTAGTTATGAAGTACAACAGTTTTACCTTTCCCTTGTATTCTCAGCTAAACTGCAGAGGTTTCAGTGTAATTTGAAGCTCTCATGATTCAGATCTGACCTAAAGTCAGAGTTTGAAAGTTGACTTTCAGATATTTTTTTTGCCTCTGTATCTAAAACATTATATCGTTTACCTCTGTATACAAAAAGGAAATATGAGGTGGGGCCCCACTTTTTGGATGCAGTCCATATGCTTTTTTTGAGACCACTGGGTCAGACATGTTTAGGAACTTCGGAGATTTTAGGAATTTTTAAAAAAAATTTTTTTTGGGGGGGTTACTGGGGATTGAACTTGGGGCACTAGACCACTGAACCACATCCCCAGCCCTATTTTGTATTTTATTTAGAGACAAGGTCTCACTGAGTTGCTTAGCACCTCACTGTTGCTGAGGTTGGCTTTGACCTCACCATCCAGCTGTCTCAGCCTCTCAAACCACTGGGATTACAGGTGTGTGCCTTCGCGCCCAGCAATTTTAGGACTTTTAAAAATACATATAGTATATAACACCCCTAGAGGGATATGGGACAACAAAGCATATTAATAATTCTGTGGTAAACAAAGGAATGTTCATACTATCTGAAATAAATAAAAGCTATGATAATCTCAAGATAGGGTTTTTTGGTTTGCTTTTTGTACTGGAGGTTGAACCCAAAAGTACTCTACCACTGATCTATATCCTTGGTCTTTTTCATTTTTTTGTTTTGAGGCAGGGGCTTACCAAGTTGCTGAAGCTGGCCTTGAACTCGTGATCATCCTGCCTCAGCCTTCTGAGTCATTAGAATTATAGGCCTATACCCAGAATAGGTTTTGTGAACATAAGAATGCTGAATAAACTTTTAACTTTTTTTTTTTTTGGTACTGGGGATTGAACAGGGGCACTTAACCACTGTGCCCATCCCCAGCCTTTTTTATTTTGAGATGGGGTCTCACTAAGTTACTAGGGGTCTCACTAAATTGCTGAGGCTGCCTTTGAACTTGAGTCCTCCTGCCTTAGCTTCCTGAGCTGCTGGGATTAAAGGTGTGTACCACCATGCTTGGCAGGCTTTTGATTTTTAAAAGTTTCGATTTCAGAATTACAGGTAACATATTGTAGCTCTATATTTGGAAAATAATGAGCACTATCCACTGAAGAATTCCCAGAAATAAAGATAACTAATTAAAACAGCATAATGATTCCAGTTATATTTTATTATGTTTTAAAATTGGTGACTAAAATTTTAGTCATTGAATCATATCCAAAGAATTTCATAGAGTATACATATTTCAGGCTTGAGAAAGAAGGTATTTTTAAAAAACATTTTTATTAATTGTTCATGGACTTTTTATTTTATTTACTTATTTATATGTGGTGCTGAGAATTGAACCCAGTGCCTCACACATGCTAGACAAGTGCTCTACCACTGAGCCACAACCCCAGCCCCAAGGAGGTATTTTTTTAATTTTATTTTACTCAACCCTTAGGATTTGCATTTATTGCATATTTGTTGTGAACTTGCTAGAAACTTTGTTCTGAAATACTGAAATGTTTCTGTGGGTATACCACATTTGATTTTAGTTATGCAGATGCATTGTTTAAGTCATCTGATATCAAATCGGACAGTTTGGAAGACCTATTGGAAAATCTGAGCTTAAAGCCTGCTAACTCCCCGTGTGTGAATATCTCTGCAACCTTGTCTCCACAAGGTAAGCTACAGATGAGTAAAGTAAGAAATAGAAGACTAACTTCAAATAAGTTATTTAAAATGTTTCGGTCTTGACCTTTATTAGAATTTATTCAAAGTGCTGAGAAAGAGCGTACTATGTATTAAAGCCATTTATATTACATTTTAACAGAAGTCTATTATCTTTAACAAATACATCAGTGTTAAAACTCTTGAACACTGACTTTTGTCCTATCAGCTGGCAGAGGTTCAAATCTGAGATGTTTTGCATGCATATTTTTTACTTAAAATATCCTCTCAGATACTCTCTTTCCCCAAGGTTTTATTAGGTTTAGGTTAAGTAAAAAAATTTGAAAATTACATTAAAACATTAACAAAATTCTTATGCTCTTCCTTGTGGCAGTGAAAAGCAGCCTAATGATTTTGATTTCCACCCTCCTTCCCCCATCCTAGTTATGGAAACCCTGAGTGGGATAATCAGCCAATAGTTTCAAACCAGTTTTTAGATTGAATGAATCATTCTTTCTTCCGGAGTCCTTATTAACATGTTATATGACTTGATCTCTTATCTCTGACAGATTGCTTTATATAGTACAAAGAATGAAAAGAATTCCTGTCCAAAGTCTGTTCTCCTACACTCTAAACAAATCTTGGATTGTTTTACTTTGTTATAAGAAAGCACTTCAGAAGGTTGACTTTTTCTTTATTTCTTCTTTTCTTGGCCACAAGTATTCTAGCTTAGACCTGTGGAGACAGATTTTGTGCTGAGCACATAGTAACTATTAATTGTTACCTTTCATCTTGTATTTTTTCCTGTGTAGTTATTAACGAAGTGTGGCAAGAAGAAACAATTGGGCGTCTACTACAACTTATAGACCTTCCACTTCTTGACTCCTTACTCAGACAGAAAGACATTGTACCTAAAGTTCCTCAACCCAAGAGGCAGCCTGACATGGTCAACAGCAGTAACTATCTGGATCGAGGGATTCTCAAGGCGTATGGTGACTCTCAGTATGTGGAAACACATGTAATAATTTCAGTGGTTATAGGTTGTTTATAGATGTGGTATTCAGATAATATTTTGAATTGTATCCAGAGGGAATCACTTATGTGTTGCCACTCAATATTATTGTTTGAGAAAGAACAAAATTTAAAAAAGATTTAAATTTATGTATTTATTTATTTGGTACCAGGGATTGAACCCAGGGGCACTCAACCCTGAGCCACATCCCCATCCCTTTTTATTTTTTGTTTTGAGACAGGGTCTTGCTAAGTTGTTTAGGGCTTTGCTCAGTTGCCAAAGCTGGCTTTGAATTAGCAATCCTCCTGCCTCAGCCTCCTGAGCCACTGGGATTACAGGTGTGCATTACCATGCCTGTCTTAAATTTGTTTTTTTAATATTCATTTTGTTTCACTACAACTTGCACATTAAATGAAGAAAATGACTATGCTCCATCTTTTTTGTTAAAATGTAGGGCTGAATGGTCTCAAGGTTCCTCAAAGGTTTCTGGAGCAAAATGAACAAATTTGAAAAATTCTTGGAATTCTTGACTACATATGCTTTAATATTCCTCTAGAATGCCTGATAAACATTTATTTTCTAATTAACTTGTTATATTAAGGAAATATAATGAGCCGGGCATGGTGGCACACACCTGTAATCCCAGCTACTGGGGAGGCTGAGGCAGGAGGATAACAAGTTCAAAGCCAGCCTTAGCAACTTAGCAAGACCCTAAGCAACTTAGTAAGATCCTGTCTCAAAAACAAAGCAGTGGGGCTGGAGATGTGGCTCAGTGGTTAAATGCCCCTGTGGTACCAAAAAAAAAAAATTTTATATATATATATATATATATATATATATATGTATGTATGTATATATAAAATATATATATTATTATACATAATATATATAATATATATTATTATATATATAAAATGAAAGTGCTCGCTTCAGCAGCACATATACTAAAATTGGAACAATATAGAGAAGATTAGCATGGTCCCTGCGCAAGGATGACACGCAAATTCGTGAAGTGTTCCATATTAAAATATAAAATGAAAGTAATTCTCACATTTAGCTACAATTCCGAATATAAATCTTAGGGCTCAAAGGCTTAACTTCAGGTGCTGAAGGAATTAAGTTTTTTTCCTTTAAGGAAAAGGTCTATATTCTTTATTACTTTGAAAATAAATTCTGCTTTTAGCTGGGGACTGAACCCTGGGGCAACTTGAGATATTCCCCCAGTCCTTTTTTAAATTTTTGAGACAAGATCTTGCTACATTTCCCAGGCTGGTGATCTTCTGTCCTAGCTTTCTGAGTCACTATGATTACAGGGTGGGCCACTATGCCTTGCTAAGGTTATTTTATTTTTAATTATTTTGCCTTAGCAGATATTTTTGCAGTGCAGTTAAGAAGATGGAAATGTTTGAAAGGAATACAATTTATATTTTTAGGACTTCCTTAGTTGTATATTCCAGTAAACTATTAATATAATTAGTTGAGTTTCAAAAGGTAGCTTAAAACCGTAGGTGAAAAAGTTAATCCCAACATATTAGTTATTAAACTTTGCCTATATAATAGAAGCTTATTCTACAGCAGTTTAAATTGTTTTTCTTCAACCTAAAGTAACCTGAAAACACTTTATAATTACCTTAATTTTTATGTAGAGAATCAGAATTTGTGCTAAAGCAACCTTAAAGATCATCTAGCTACATTTTATAAGCTTGATGATACCCAGAGAGATGAAGTGACCTGGTATAATTTACCTGGGTCATGGCAGAATTAGTTGTTTTCAGTCTATGGCAATAGAGAATGTGATTTTTTTAACTGTATATATTAACAAATAGAATATCAAGTATTAGTCATTTTAGTCCATGAAATGTAATTTTCTTTTTCTGAAGTTACCCAGCTGGTATTATTAGACATGTAATTGATAGTTATTTTCAAACTTTATCTTCCTTTATTTTATCCTAGCCAAAGTGAGAGAAGATAGATCATATATAGCTCAGTAATGAACTAGGTTGTATTGCAAAAATACTGCTTTAGGAGTCAGGTCCGAGATCTAGTTCTACCAGGGGTCTGAGCAACTAACTTGGAATTCCTGAGTCTACACTGGAGATGTAAAAAGTAGAGTTTGAATTTTGATGTAATAGTTCATTTTGGGGATGGGAGAGGAAGACACACTAAGCTAATTTTTAAATAAAAATCTGTGTTATACAATTTAGCCACATATAAAGATAATTTAACACAATTCTTAAGAGTGTAGAAATATATCCTGGTTGCAGTGCTTGAAATGGCTAGTAAATTAGGTACTGTGTGTATTTGTTATTCTTTGCTGTTTAAAGTATTCCCTTCTCCCCCAAGGGAAGATGAGTGGCTCTCTGCTGCGATTGACTGCTTGGAATACCTGCCAGACCAGATGGTGGTAGACATAAGCAGAAACTTTCCTGAGCAACCAGACAGAACAGACGCAGTTAAAGAACTTCTGTTTGATGCCATTGGCAAATTTTACAGTAGTAGAGAACCACTATTAAATCACTTATCTGATGTCCATAATGGAATTGCAGAACTCCTAGGTAAGTAAGATCATCCTGGATTCTAGGCTTTATCTTCTGGAGGAAATAGGAAAAATTGAATCATCCTCAAAATTAGTTCCTAAATACTTCAAACTAGGAATGGATCTGTAATAATGCGTGAAAAATATGTTTGTTCTAAAACTAACTCATTTGGATAGAGGCTTTAACAAGCTCTAAAGTTATACAGAAATTTCTGGTTGCCACGGGAGAATATTACTTTTGCTGGAAGCTTAGGTACAAAACAGCATTCACTTTGGAAGAATTATCAGCACCTTCATCACCACTCCCACCCCTCAGTATGTTCAAAGTGGCAACTGCTCTGCTTTCTATCAGTAAGCCATCTTATTCCATGTCTTGTTGAAAATAAATTGGGAGGCTAGGGTTGTGGCTCAGTGATAGAGCACTTGCCTAGCATGTGTGAGGCACTATGTTTGATTCTTAGCATGGCATATAAATAAGTAAGTAAAATAAAATAAAGGTCCATCAACAACTTTAAAAAAAATTGGGGATTTCAGAGAATCCCTTCTATTTTTCTCAGATGGTAGAGTTGGATATATCAGTAGCATACATATAATAAAGAAAAACAAGCTGTTCTAGAAAATCAGGAGTTAGATTTAATGTCCTAGATTATATGACAAGGATTTAAGGTATTAGTTGTCAGTTTGAGGAAAGGCTGCCTTTATGGTATTGTTCATTCCTTATAATTCCCAGTCTTGTTTTTGCTTTCATAAATAATTTGGAATAAGTGCTCTATTTAGCTTATACTATAACTTGAGTTTTGGTCCTTTAATATAGTCATATTTAGTCAGTTAAAAGCAGTTTTCTTTTCATTTTTGTAAAGTAAATGGGAAGACTGAAATAGCATTGGAAGCGACTCAGCTCTTTCTGAAGCTTTTGGATTCCCAAAATAGAGAAGAATTTAGAAGGCTACTGTATTTCATGGCTGTTGCAGCACATCCTTCCGAATTTAAATTACAGAAAGAAGTAAGTCTTTTGTCTAAATGTTAACTGTATTCCATATCCTTAATATTTATGAGACCCATCTGTCTGATTATTCCATCCTCAGCATCAAGTATGCTGAAGTGGATAATAGCTATTATTAGATAATACTTCCTTAGTATTAATTTTTTTAAATATGTAATTATAGGCTGTGTTTTATTTTTATAGAGTGACAATCGAATGGTTGTGAAAAGGATATTCTCAAAGGCTATTGTTGACAATAAAAATTTGTCCAAAGGCAAAACTGATCTTCTGGTACTCTTTTTAATGGATCACCAAAAAGATGTTTTTAAGGTAAAACTCTGATAGTAATGAAACTTAGCTTATTTGTAATGGATTACTTATGCATAGCTTAAACTACATTTTAATAATATCTTGTTGTTCCTTCTTTTTAAGATTCCTGGAACTCTACATAAAATTGTTAGTGTTAAACTTATGGCCATACAGAAAGGAAGAGATCCAAATAAAGATGCAGGTAATCTAAGAGATATTATTTTTACAGTCTTCTGGAGACAAATTCTTGGTATTTATTTGAAAGTATTTTGCTGTAAGTAGTTCATTTCAGCTAAATTCTAAACACTCAGAGTATGAGAGCCTCCAATGTCAAAAAGCAACTTGCCCAGAGTCAGTCGACAGTATTTATCCTCTTCAGTGCATTTCACAAAATGGGGAAGAAACGCATAAATATAAAAATATTGACTTTTCCAGTTAAATCTGAGGAATAGAGTCATTAACTGAACTTTTTTTTTTTTTTAAACTTAAGGGTATATTTATTGCCAGAGAATTGATCAAAGTGACTATTCCAGCAGTACACAGAAGACAACCAAAGATGAGCTGTTGAATTTACTAAAAACTATTGATGAAGATTCAAAACTGTCTGCCAAAGAAAAGAAGAAATTGTTAGGTCAATTCTATAAGTGTCATCCAAACATCTTTATTGAGTATTTTGGAGACTGAGTTTCTAATATATGTTATGTATTTTAAGAATAAATTATGTATCTTAAAGATCCAATCACATTTGTAAATTTGATTTCTATATAAAACTGTACTTAATAAATTTTTTTTTATAACCTTATGTGTCAAAAACTTAAGTTATTGGTCAGATGGTGTAGTGCTGTTGAGTACTGGCATCTCTTAGGTAGTTGGTTTATAGCTATTGTGCCCAGTGCTTTATAGAACACCATAGGGATTTAGATGATGCCGCAGTCCGGCTGGGCAAAATAACCGGGAGGTGCAAGCAACTTGAAGATTGAAGCGGGAACTGCTTTATTGCTGGGGTGGGGGAGGCACTGAGCGGGCACTCAAGGTAGTGAGAGCCGCTTTATTGAGGAACAGCAGAGGTATATATACCTAACTGATTTCACAGAGCTTAACTCAATTAGCATCATCTAGATACAGCAGTCAGCCAAAAAGGAATTCCCACCATCTTAATGGCTCGGTGGCGTTGCCTCACAAACCACTCCTCCTGGCAAACTGCCAGGCGCCATCTTGACTTGATTTGCGGTCCCCAACAAGATGATATGACAAGTAGTGTTTATATAAGAATGTACTTAAAAGTGAAAAAGTCTATAATTACAAATTAATAGACTAGTATGATTTGTGTTTTAAATGATACTCCTTAAAGTTACAAGATACATAGAAGAAACAGTCTGATAAAATGTATTTGCTTATTACCAATAAATTGTAGACAAGCAAAAAAAAATCAGACCACCCTAATATTTCTGAAAACGTCATCTATTTTTAAAATATTCTTTTAGACATTGATGGACCTTTATTTTATTCATATGTGGTGCTGAGACTCTAACCCAGTGCCTCACACATGCTACGTAAGTGCTCTACCACTGAGCCACAATCTCAGCCTGAAAACTTCATCTTTTTAAACTTCTTGTGGGAGATTTCAAACAGAAATGTGGGGAGAGTGGAATAATGAACTTGCCCATGTACCCATCAACCAATATCTACAATTGTCTACTTCTGTCCAATTTTGTTTAATCTATTTCCTCACGCATTCCCCCCAACAAATTTCAGATATCATCTCACTTCCTGTAAAAAAAAATTTCAGTGACTATGACCAAAAGATAAGAACATTTAAAAATAACCACAATGTCATCTTCACTCATACAACTGTATAATTTTTATTATCAAAAATGCATTTAATGCTCAAATTTTCTGATGATCACAAATGATTTTGACAGTTTGTTCAAAGAGTGAAACAACATCCATAATGTGCTTCTTAAGTTGCTCTTTGTTGGTTCTCCCTCCATCCTTCTTTTCCTTGTCTATCTCTGCTGTCAAATAAACCTGGTCATTTGTCCTTGAGTTTCTCACAGTCTGGATTTTGCCTAGCCTGTCCTTTATCATGTTCCTTTGTGTCCCATGTTTCTTATTAATTGGTCACTAGAGCTAAAGTTTTTAACAACTTTTTAAACAAGTTCATGGTTATTCTGGAGCAACTGTCACAATGTATTTGATAAAGAAGCAATACAGCACAATTTGAAAAAAATTGCAATACAAATTGAAATTGTTCATCCTTATTTTAACCTTTTAGCTTATTATGAGCTGGGATTTTATATTTTAACTCAGACTTTTAATGAGAGGAAAACAAACAATGCATAGTATTCTGCTAGTAAAGTAATGATCTTTCATTTTCTGGTGTAACTGATGCTGGCTAGTCTCCAAAAGGAAGGCTGAGGACTAATATTAATATCCACAATGTATAATCTATGATACCAATTTTAATAAAGCAGGGAAAGTCAGGTTTTTTTGTATAGGAAGAAGGTGGGGTAGCAGCTTTCTTTACAATTAGGTGAAAGAGAAAAAGAGTTCATGACTTAAATGTGAGCAAGTTTTCATAACAAGCTGAAACTGGTGAGACCAACATTGTTGGCAGAACAGCTGTACTATCTGACTTTCAATCTTTATTTTGCACATAATTAGCATGATTATTTGGCAACCAAACTAACACCTTCAGGGGAAGGCAGAACTAACTGGTTAATGATATTCATGCTTCTAAAAGAAGCAACATTTTGACAGAATAATTTCATGGAAAACATGATTGAAATGTTTCCCTCAAAACTTCATTAGGATAGAATAAAATTCTAAAAAAACTGGATGTTTACAAGCATTATTAAAGTTTTAAGGCACAGTCTAATGCTACCCTGCATGCCTTGGGCAACCCTCCTGGGTTACTGGGACCATCAGTTATTGTCAGCTGTACGCCCTCATTTATTCATGATGCCTTCCTAGAAACCCATGCCCACGTGCCCACGAGATGCCTAGGTGACTGTGAGCCTGGCCATCACCTTAGCAGAGCAGACCAGTGCTGAGCGTCTCATCCAAGGGCAGCCTCCCTACAAGCTAATGAGACTGCAAACATCAGCTTGGTCAGTTGTTCCATACAGGTAAACCTAAATTGTGGGGGAGACAGAAGCAGAGATGTGATGAGAAATTTTGTGTGTTCCAGGATGGTGACAGAGTAGCAACTCACCTCTACAGCGGCTGCCACCTTTCTCCTCCCAATTCCTAGATAGCCTCGCAGTGAACTCCTTTTGCCTTTCAGTAGTTCTTTCCAGTCCTTGCAGCCAGAGAGCCAACTGGAACATGTATCAATGTACTTAAAGGAAATGGTTCAGAATACATCAAAAGATTATAGGTAAATCATTCAAAATGAAATCGGAGTGGTTGCCATATAGTCAATGTTGCTCCAAGTGAAACTTGCTTATACTAATCCTTCAAGGGAGGTAGGGGACACTTGATGGGTGGAGGTGATTGTAGCTTGGCCACACACAAGAGTTATCCAGGAAACTTGAATACTTCTTGCCTGGCATCACTCCCTGGGAGTTTTCAGGTGATAGTTTTGGAAGCCTCTTTGCCCCCATAGGCTAAAATATAGTCAGGGTTGAAGAACAACAATGTTTTCTTCGTGACTCTTAACACTTCCAGAATATTTTAAGATTTGATTTTTTTTCCTCTCCTAAAGTGAACCTTCATCTGAGAACTGTTCTGTTATTTTTTTAAGGGGAAAATAATGTGCTGATTGGTAAGTGGTTTGAGGCCATTGTACTGCACTTAGCCATCAATACTTAATTTTGTTCTAGTTACAACACATTTGAATACAGAAGATTTATTTTAAGGCATTTATCATTTATGTCCAATTTTAAAGCTTTTTTTTTTTTTTTTTTTTAAAAAGCAGTCACATGCTACAGTGGCATGTTGGTGCATGCCGGTAATCTCTGATTCCGGAGGTTGAGGCATGAAGATGGCAAATTCAAGGCCAGCCTCAATAATTTATGGAGGCTCTTGACAACTTATTATTTTTTAGTTGTAGTTGGACACAACACATTTATTTTATTTACTTTTATGTGATGCTGAGGATGGAACCCAGGACCTCGCACATGCTAGGCAAGTGCTCTACCGCTAAGCCACAACCCCAGCCCAACTCATGACAATTTAGTAAGATTTTGCCTTAAAAAAAAAAAAAAAGTCTGGGGATGTAGTGGTAAAGTGCCCCTGGGTTCAATCCCTGTTACCAAATAACTGTCACATGCCTTTTATATTTTAAGATTAAGCACCATAACTATTTGTGTTCCTGCAGGTTAATATTTTACTGCTGCAGGCAGAGCTATCTTGGAGCAGCGACTCTTAGCAAGGCAGCTCCACGGTAGTCACAGGCCCACTACTTGGAACCGAGGGAGACGAAGCTCTGAAACGGGCTCGAGTCAACACGATACATCAGGGAAACCACCTTTTCTGGACAAGACCTGAAACGCCCTCAGCGCTCCCGGTGCTTCTGAACGATCTGCCCGGAGCTGAGCCCTCAGGAGGCGGTTTGCCCGCTGCCTTCCGTCTCTCCAGAAGTCTTGTTTTTTCCTACGGACAACGTGCAGCAGCCCCTGAAGTACCGACTCAAAAATCCAACCGGGTCGGAGCCTCGGAGACTGCTGTTAGGTAGTGGGCGTGGTTTTTTAAGTAGCCAAAATGAGGGAAGGGGAATAAACTTAATTTAGTTACAAAGATGTAATATTTAAGTTTCAAAATCCTGGCGGAGGTTTTAAATGCTATTGGCTCTAAGGATTTTTTTCCATCCATTAACTGACTTCATGCCACCTCCTCAATCTCCTCTCCAGGCGCCCCCTCGCCTGGCACCCGGCCGCGCCTCCGCCTTTCCGTATGGAAACATGGCGCCTCCCTGCGTGGAGCGGGAGCCTCCCGGACATGAGCACCGCCCACTGGAACCCCTTGGCGGGCAACCGGCCCGCCTTCCCGTGCGGAAATATGGCGCCTGCCGGCGCCGAGCCTCTTCGGCCAGCAGGAGACCTAAAATCACTCGACTCTCCGTACAAAAACATGGCGCCGCCCTGCGTCGAGCAAGCGTCTCTCGGATAAAAGCAACCTCCCCCTTCCACACGCTGAGGTGTGGCTGCTCTGGCCGCTGCCCACCGGAGCCGGACAGGAAGGACCGCTTGCGGCGCGGAGAGGGATGCGGCCTCGAAGAGGTAGAGGCTGAACCGCCCCTGCCCGCCGCGCATCGCTCCCGCCTCCTCCGCGGCGCCCGCCTCGCCTGATTCGCGGCGGGAGCGGCAGGAGGGAGAACGCCGACTCCGCTGCAGGTGAGGGGCGCGGGCGCGGAGGCTGGCGGGGCCCTCACAGGAGGCGCGAGGTCGAAAGCACAGCATTTCTTCGCCTTCTCTCGTCGGGTCGGGGCCCGGTGATGGGTTGAGGCGAGGAGGAGGCAAGGGCCGCGGGCCGGTTGAGGCCCACCCTCGAGGCCGCCCGCCGGCGAGTCCCGCTCCGCTCCGGTCGCTGGCTCCAGGCCCGCCACTCCCTCGCCGACCCAAACAGCTGTTTACAACGGAATCCGGACGCGGGGAGAGAGTGGCGCTGAGCGCCGGAGGGAGCGACCCCCGGCGCCCGTGGACAGCCCCTCTTTTACCGTTTCTGCCGGGGCGAGGGGCTCTGGAGTCCGGCCGAGGCCCGCGTGCAGCTCCGACAGATGCTGTTCTTTTCGGCCGCTGCGTGGATCCTTCCACCCCCGGTTTCCTTTTTAGGCACAGTCGAGGCTGAGGATCGTTGAAT